AATTCACAGAAAAAAAAAAAAAAAAACAGAAATTCCAAGGGGAGGAGGCTAAACAATCACATGGTATGCCTTAGCTAGATTTAGCCAATAAACATAAAAGGAATTCTTCATTCCAACTTAACTGAACCACCGTATTCCACATGAGAAGAAGATGCATGATCAACGGAGGGTTGCATTGAATGGATAAATGCAATTAAACATGCTGTCAATTTAACATCGGAAATACATTGCTCAAGAGAGTAACAACTAACTACAAGGAAAATTTTGATTTGGAAAGTGCATACCCTCAATCTGTCAGATAGGACTGAAGGAGTGATGAGCTTATACTTGGGAGCTTCACTAAGCAGCTTGTCATACGTCTCCTGGTCAAACAATACCATGTTGTTAACCTTTTCCTTTTGCTTTCCTTTGCTCCATTTCTATAGAAGAAGGGCAAGTTAATGCCAATTGATACCGGATGTACAGAGCAGGATTAATACTATCTCAAATCCAAAATGGATGGACATTATTGTAAACACTCAATCCACAGTTCAATAGTTCAGAAAACCTAAAGAGGCATGTCAACCAAGATAAATGCCTTGCCCAAAACGTCGATTCCCATAATCTAAGGTTGTGTTTGGAGTTGCTTTCTCACAACTTTTTCACACAGCACCTTATAAAAGTGTTAATTTATTATGATTAAATTAATTTTAATTGATATTTTGTATAATTTCATGGTCATATTAATGTATAAGACTTGTTTTAAAGCAGTTATCAAACTATAACATAGTAAAATACTAAAGAGTCTACAGTTACAGTAGTTCAAAGCAATCTCAAACACAACCTAAGAAAAAGAACCAACTCATCATACAATAGCAAACTTGATAGATGACCATAAATTCACATGGGAAGTGACCATCATCGATGACTATAAGTACACAGTGCAAGTTTGAATAACTGTTAAACATACTGTAAAAGATTAGTTCTAAAATCTTAAAGACTGGAATTACACAACAATTGGGTAAGTAGAAATGTGAAGAAAAGGAGAGTACAGATGGAAATAAAAATCCAAGCTTTACTTTCTTTTTCTGCTTCCCTTCGCCAGATTTGGCTGGCTTGGAAGCCAGTGGAGGACCCTTATACTTCTTCGGTGCCTGTGAAGATAAACATCAGCGCTGCAACATTACGAAGACTTCCTTTGTTTACAAAATCAAACGATTATCCAGATTGAAACAAAATTTATTAAGCTTCTGTTTCGTGCCATGAGGTCTCAGGAACGAATGTTAAGGTTTTGCTTTTGGTTTTGCTTGAGGGTTGAAGAAGAAAGGAGTTACTGCCCCAAACCAGAAAGTCGCTCGGTTCAGAGATGACTCGTTCAGGGTTTTAGGCTTCTAGCTGAGAGAATAATATCCTAGTGGTTGGGAACAGAACCAAACTTATGCTTTAACCAGACACATTTATTCCTCTTCGGTTTTATGATTTTTCTAGTTGGGGAGGTCTTAATATGCATTGCAAATAATATGATTACATGGTTTAATAAGATTTTAAAAAACCTATGTAAGAGCATTAAGGTTAATTAATTATAAATTTTTTAATAAATTCATTTTTAATTTTAGATATTGAATTCAAATTCATTCTCCTTTAAATTTAACTTAATTGATTAAGAATTTTAAAATTTGAGGTATAAATTTCATATTTGAATCATAAAATTGATGATGAAAATTTTTTAAAGAAAAAGCTATTCTATCTTATATAATATATCATCAGATTAAAAAAAGAAAAAAGAAAAACCAACTTAAGTGTGAGGATGATATACCCACTTAAAAGATTTTGACTTCTTAAAATAACCTAATGGTATTCACAATGTGAATTAAAAATTTAGTGTGTTGTTAATTAGTACTTATTTTTCCTTAAGAAACCGTTCTTTAAAATTCCCTGTTGTCCTTGAGATTTAGTGTTTTATTGTCAAACTCAGTTTATCTCAATCTCATTCTCTTTCACTTTCGTTTAATGTCTGGGTAAGAAGGTGTTAACGTCGACATCTATAAGAATGATAAATATAGTGCTTTCGACCACAAAGGGCGTTTGGTCTAGTGGTATGATTCTCGCTTTGGGTGCGAGAGGTCCCGAGTTCGATTCTCGGAACGCCCCACAACTTACTTTTTATTGCCTTACTGGATTCTAATTTTGATCCGGTAGAGTAACGAAGGCGTTACCAAGGTAAACCTACAAGTACGGGCCTTTATCGTTGAACTCCTAACTGCCAGATCGACAGCCTCCCTCCCTCCACTCCGCCCCACATCTTCCGTCCACCTCAAATTTATAATGCCTACATTTTTCTGTTTAACAGTCCGATGTTGATGCGGCGAGGGTGGAGACTATCGGCGGTGGGAGATAGAGAAATTTAATTGAGGCAAAACCATACATTGAGCCCCTGAACTAACTCCAGATTTACTATTAAGCCCCAAACTTTAATTGATGTATATAAGCCCCTAAACTCCATGATCTAAGCAATTTAACCCTTATTCTTATGATAGTTAAAGAATTAAGGGCTAAATTACTCAAATCATGGAGTTTAGGAATTTCTATACATCAATTAAAGTTTGAGGGCTCAATAACAAATCTAGGACTAGTGCAAGGACTTAACATATGGTTTTGCCTTTAATTTACCGATGGAGTGTTTGACGCATAAATATAGCATCATTCACTCAGAACCATTTATTTCTAATTACTAAAGTTTCAATAACTATATAATATATTATCAATGTAATTACCGCTTTAAAAAATATATATAATATATTTAAAAATATATATCATATGGTTCGGCAAAGTACAACTAGAGCTCCCTAGTTCTTTGGCTCTCTTATGTCACCAACGATATTAGATGTTTGATTACAATGTTGAAGAGGTAATTGTACGCTACTAAGGCAATCTCCAATATACAAGAACATAACCATTTCTTTACATGCAAAGAAAATAGGGGTAGAAATCAACATTTGAAACTGAAACTTCCACAAGCACTGAGCCACAGTATGAGTATGAGGGCAACAATAGTTCCTCCTACAACCACCTTCACTTTGAGACTCTGCAGCCACATCTTCCGTCGTAGTTCCCTGCCTTGCCTTTGAAAGCTATCAGCCTAAATTCAAAACAAGTGATTACACAAACACATATATAATAAATCAACTCCATCCAAATTCCATTCTCACTTTGTATAAACCAATGAGTAAAAAAGGATTTACCTGAAACTGTAAGTTTTCAGTTTTATCCACTAGAAGTTCAATTCTCTCCCCACGATCTAAAACCTGCATGATATATTAGTTAATGGATAGAGTTTCTAGTTACTTGACTGCTTTGCAGTATAGAAAAAAATGTAGTTGGGATATTAAAGGCAACTACATTCTAATATGAAATAATAGCAAAAATTTTATGCATCACATGGAAAATTGATAGCAAAAATCTTCATAATGGGTCAGGCCCTTGACCATCAACTTAATAACAGGACTTTACAGAAAGAAGTCACAAGAACATCTCCAATTGGCATTTTGACAAGTGACAAGTCATTTAAAGACCCTTCACTTATTCTTTTCCTCTCCACCACTTCACCCCAATCATATATATCATATTCCATATTGATCGACTAAGAATATGCCCACACATAACAAAAGAACTATGGGCTTTGGAAAACCTGGTCAAAGACAGTAAGACATCCCAAGGAGGATTTCTTTTGGAAGGTTTTTACTTTTAGAGGAAGAAACAGAAAGAATGATTTAAGAAGACAACCTTAACTAATATATTTTCGTTTCCTAAAGCTGATAACTTGAAACTTCATTCAATAGTTTCTAACAACTGGCACCACTCTCCAAGACAAGAAAGACATACCTTCTCAATATTGTCCATCATGATCTCCTTAACCTCAGTTACTTGAGCTTTCAATTTGGAGAGCTTACTGATTTCCTCTGGATGACTTGCACAATATTGCATATGCTCCTTAAGCCTTGGCCTATCAAGAAAAAAATGCAAACACTTTGCAGTTTGGATGTACATGCATCAAGCAAAGAAGATATGTACTCTAATCTAAAACAGTATTTTATATGGAATAAGCTCAAATTTAAAAGAATGAAGCACATATGCACCCAAATTCTCTATCAAGATTGTATGCGATGCTAAATCGATCTTCAATTAAAGCATCATCTTCATCATCAGCAGCAAGTGGGTGGGTTTCTGCATTTTTTATACTTGCCCCATAGCACTGTTTAAAGTCATCCTTTACTCGTTCAAGAAAAACAAAAGGCATACCCCTGCCAACTGATTCATCAGAAACGACAAGAAAAACTGCAGGGCCAAAAAAAAAATAACAATAATAATCATAATCACACACCATGAGCTTTGCATCTGAAATCGAATAAATAAATAAACAAACTGGAGAAAGATGATACCAAATCCATTGTCGATGAGGAAATTAAACGTACGGCCATCACATGAATATGTGTACTTGCTGCTGTCTGAAGGAAGCTTCTGCAAGCATTGAACAGCTATTGTGCTAAAGTTGCCTGAATACGAGGTGTGTTCAGCCAACACAACATTTCCTTTGGCAACAAAGCTGTAAATCAAGCCCTTCTGACTCATTTCCTGTTAAAATATTGTAACGTTTCAAAAACCAGTAACGAATTTGACTACAACAAGAGCATTCATACATTTCACAAAAATTGCTACATTCTGGTTCTTAGAGAAAAATAATACAGTTGAAAATATCTGAATTAGATGTTTAAGGTACCGAATTTTCCCCGGCAGCCAGTGGCAAAATTAAACATTCTAAACCCTAATGCTCCACAGACATGTTAGCGAATTGGAAAAAAATCAGAATCAGAATCTAAATTCTCATCCTCGAACTCTATGGATGTTTGTTTTCCCTAACCTTTCTTACTACTTTCACCGTTGAATTTTAGAGCTACCGAATCGAAAACAAATAATTGCATACACAGAGATTAGAAGATTTGAGATTATATGCACAAAAAAAAATTAAGAATCGAATTTGGAAACACTTTCTCGATCGTAGAATTAGGAGAACGGAAAATAGGATTTACCTGAAAAACCAGGGAGCGAAGATGGTAAGGTAGAATAGAATCTGAAGAAGAAGAAGAAGCAAATTAAAGACGCAGAAGAGTCAAGAGAGAAACCTCTTGCTTCGTGTCTACGAGCTGTCTTCAGAAGTTGTGCCAGCTGGACGAATCGATTAAAAGAAATACTCTGAAATTGAGTTTTTATTTATTTTTCAATTTTACTTTACGTAATTTTCATTTTAAAATATAAAAATTATCGTAAATAATTCATTAATTAACTATGATCAATAATAGTAACAAATTCTCACTTCATGGGCACACATAAATCTTGATATATTTAATATAATATTATAGGAGAGATCATTGTCAAATCACAGTTGAAAAAAATTAAAATATCAGTTTAATCCTTCAATTTTTAAAATTTAAAAAATATTAAAATCATTCTTAAACTTTAATTTTTTATATTAACACAAGTAAACTCTCATAATTGAATTAAAATAAAGTCGATTTATTTATGTTTAAGTAAAATGAAACAATTAAAAAACTAAGTTTACAAGTCAAAACTAATGAATTCACCACAAAAAGAAAAAATTGCATAGTCAACTATAAAATCTACTACTA